GCTACATTTTATGGACTGTAATTTGATGTAACTTAAGTAGGTTCCATGTTTGGATGAGATGGAGGAACGGGATTTTTATATGTATGTAACCATTTTGGGAATGTAGTATAATATTTGAATTGTGCGTTGGGACAGGATAAGTTAGATTTAAGGCCCAGTGAGGCCATTGCATTTATTTTTGTATTTCTACAGGTTGTTGAGGGACATTTTCTGCTGAAGTCATGCCGAAATTTTTATAGATTTTTATTATTATTTTGGTATTTATTCGAGTCATTACAATCTGTACAACCCTTTGCATAGGTCATGCAATCTTTCCTCATTCTAGGCCAATAATATCCATATCAGCATATCAACCATTTCATTTTGATGCCGGCTTGGTGAGCTCCACATATTCCTTCGTGTACCTCTGCCATAATCTTTAAACCTTCAAACTTGTTAAAACATTGAAATAGTAGACCATCATCAGCCGATCTTCTATAAAGATCTCCATCCATAAGTATATAATCGACTGCACTTCTTTTTATTTTTCGATCGGCTTCTGGAGTTGGATGTGGTAAGAATAAGATGTAAGGAATTCTCCAATCATCATCATCTAACTCGGCAACATCAGTAGCGAAGACCTCTTCTATAATTTTTATTTTTGAGAGATGCCGATTTTGGGAATGGAATCGGCTAGATATATATTCTAGCCGATTTTGTTTTTCTGCCTTTACACGACTGTTGTTAGAATTATCATGCCGAGACTCTTCACCAGGCTTAATTGGGAAGGTAAGCCACTCAATAATTCTTTTCTTCTTTAGTTGAACCTCATACCGAGAAGCTCTGTCTGCCAAATCGAAGAGATCTTGAAACTCGACCTCATCAAACCTCTTGCGATGTTCAATGTCTAAACCGTTTAATGCCAATTTGATGCATTCTGGTTCTGGCAAACTTACTCAGCATTTGAGTTTAGCTTTTCTGAACTTGGTCACGAAAGTTTCAACCGATTCGCTCGGCAACTAAGATAAACGGGATATGTCTGCCAGCATAGCCTCTGTCTCTGTTCGGTAGAAATAGGTATGGAAGGCTTCCTCCATTTCATCCCAAGTCTGAATAGAGTTGGCTGGTAAGTTGCTATACCATTCAAACGCCGCCCCGGTAAGAGAATTAGAGAATAATCTCATCCTCAACCAAGGACTTGGGCCTGCTTCACCACATTGTGCTGTGAACCTCGTAATATGTTGCACCATAGAAAAATTATCTTCACCACTATATATAGAAAAATCAGGATACCAATAATTTCTAGGCAACTCATAGACATCGACATGATCAGGATAGGGCTTTCTGTATATCGGTCGACTACGTTTGCGACCCTGTGCCACTTCGGCCTATATTAAAGCCAAAATTTGAGCCCTATCAATTCCTGCATTTCTTCTTGGAGGATCATTTGGGTGCCGCGGAATGAATAGATTAACCCACTCTCTTTGTGGATCGGCATTTACTTGCCCCCCGGTAGCCGCTAGAGGTATCAATGGATTAGCACTACCTTGGTTTAGGTTTCCTACCACTTCTTATTGATCTCTCACTGGTGGAATCAGCTGCACATGTGGATGCTGCACATTTTAATTATGCTGATTATTCATTGGTGGATGATATACCGGCACAGTAGTTACTGCAGGCAGATTTGATAAGATTGGTGGATTCTCAATCGGCATGCCGAGTTTATGATTCGGCACATTGCCGATTGTAATACCAAGTCCTGCACTTGGCGGTATAATGCTTGTTCGAGGCCCTTCGGATATATGTATCAATGGTGCCGTCATACGCTGGAATATGGACTCATTGATATGAGATACTTCAGCTTGATCATGCCGATTGTCTCAGCTTTGATTTACTGATATACTGGTATGATTCGGCACATTGCCGATTGTAATACCAAGTCTGCACTTGGCGGTATGATGCCTGTTCGAGGCCTTGAGATATATGTATCAATGGCGCCGTCATATGCTGAAATATGGACTCATTGACATGAGATGCTTCAGCTTGATCATGTCGGCTTTAATTAGCCGATATATTGGTTTCAAGTTTTTGATTCATCTTCTCCAACTGGGTGTACATCATTTGGTTTAACTCCCCTGTCATTGATCTCATCTCATGAATTTGAGAAACCAAAAGTTGATTTGATTCTCCCATTTGAGATCTCACCTCACCGATCTGGGCATCGAATTTTTGCATAATCGATTCCAATACCCGACCCAAAGGAACGTCGGATGGAATAGAAGAGTCGGCATCATCGCCTACGTCGATTTGTGGATTTTCTTTGTCAGTATTATCTCATGTATTCACGTCTTTCGAACATCTTAGCTTTAGAGGCATCTTTACTATAACTTGCTCACCTGATGGGGTCCCACCAAGCGTGCCAAAAATATTGACCCTAAAATCGGCCGGTTAGAGTCGATCTTAATTTAATGTAAAGCGGGCGTGCCAGAACCATTTGTGTGGTTCGATGTGTGAATTGTCAACTTTAGTCCCTTTGAGCGAGTTGACTTTCAGACGATTGCGAGGAAAAAGGGAACAGAAAAATTCCTCTTTGGGTTCAAAATTGCCTTAGTTAAAAGGACTTTCCAGTGAACAATTTATAATAACGTATCAAGAGAATAGAAAGGGGAAGAAATAGATATAGAAAGTGATAGGGAGAAAGAGATATGGGAAGAGAAATAGAACAAGACTGAAATAGAGAGAGAAATAAAGATAGCAAGGATGCTATTTGAGGAAAGTGCTTGAGAAAGCAAACAAAATAATAAATTGATTCTGAGGGTGCTGGACCTCTTGTACAACGTGCCTCTCTGTTTATTTATAGAATAAATGGTAAAATAAATTCCTAAATACAAGCATCCTAGTTATATTCTAATACAACCACACAATTATTCAAATTAAACTAATCTTAACTAAATATTAATTCCAAATAAAATCTAATCCTATTGATAAATCAACTAAAAATAAATTCAAACTAAACATTCCTAGATAAACACTAATTCAAAAATTAAGTAAACACATAAATCTTATCTAACATAAAGTTCAAGAACATTCTATCCATGTAGCATCCTTACATATAGCGTTATTTTGTATGAGAACTGTCACGTCACTGTTCATGTATAGCACTAATGGATTTTATTCCAACTAAAATGCTATTCCAAACCACCTTCAATCCAATCACCTTCCATGACCCAGATATCCTTCTTGGCCCAAACTCCTAGCACATCATTACTGACCAAGCTTTATGTTCTTGACCCATATTACTATATCATTGATCATCAAGTCCAATTGAAGCCCAAACCCAATTACCAAAATGGATATCAACAGTGACACACGCGCAAAGGTATATGTATACATATATATTTGAATTATTTATAAGAATATGGCATGGTACAACTTTCCCAACAAGAAAGTAACATGCAGAATGAAGTCAATTGATTCTCTATTATTTTATTATTAATTGAATGCCAATGTCTATTGCATATTCAGAATACGCCTTCACATATTGTTTGCAAAATTAAATTTTTAGATAAATTATGTGTCTTCATGCTGTCTTTAATTAATATTTAAAGTGACACTAGCATAATTATAATAATAGATTCAAGTTAATGAACTCTCCAATAGAATAGTTTTATAAATGCAGAATGAAGCCAATTTATAAATGTGTATTTATCAAAAATCTAATTTATTTTTATTTTTGTAAATTTGTGTCTCCAACCTTAAGAAATATTCTCTCTATGTATACTCCGTATTTATGTTTTATACATTCAACACCAGAAGTCATTCCATTTCCAATTACAGCCTATGGAAAAAATTTCAGCAACTCCAAACAAAGAAGTATCAATGAAATCATTGAACCATTAATTTAATTGGTATAACCTCTTCTCATTAATTTAATTGGCCAAGTTCAATTTTATGATATATATATATATAGAATCGGGTAACTGTCAAACACGTGAAGTTATTAAGTCAAAGAACTTGGCCATTTATTTTAATATCACCATAACCTTACCATGAAGACTTTTCATGGATATCATGAAAAATATATATATTAAATTGTTGACATGCACTGTATTGCATGTGAGTATGACCTACCCAACACATTATGCTCTGATGGAACATCCTATCCATATATATATATATATATATATATATATATATATATATAGATATTACTCATGATTGTCTAGCTTCCTCAGCTTGTATAATATACTAGTGAACAATTTGGTATAAACAGATCATCTGTCTATATAATATGATTTTTATAAAAAAAAAACGTTTAGCTACTTGGTTACTAGTTCTTATCATGATCCGAACTGGGCTAGTTGGCAGAGTAATTTATGTATTACATGTACAAACCATAAATTGAAAAGGACGTCATATATTAAGGCCTCAGGACATCAATCCAAAAGAAATTTATTCCAGTTGCAAGAAAATATACATACCTACCCAACACAATATGCTCTGATGGAACATCCTATCCATATATATATATATATAGATATTACTCATGATTGTCTAGCTTCCTCAGCTTGTATAATATACTAGTGAACAATTTGGTATAAACAGATTATCTGTTTATATAATATGATTTTTATAAAAAACGTTTAGCTACTTGGTTACTAGTTCTTATCATGATCCGAACTGGGCTAGTTGGCAGAGTAATTTATATATTACATGTACAAACCATAAATTGAAAAGGACGTCATATATTAAGGCCTTGCGACATCAATCCAAAAGAAATTTATTCCAATTGTAAGAATATATACACACACACGCATATATATATATATGAATATATATACTTGTTATACAAAAATATATTGTCATCACACCTCCACCTCAATCTAATAGCCAGAGTGTACCTGTTCAAGTCTTTCTATAATACAATTATTTGCCATTTATTAACTTGTTTTATGCTCTCATCAATCATATGTTGTGTGTGTGTATATATATCTTGAAGTGAAACAAACAAGTGCAGGATCATAATGAAGAATCAAAAAATCATTTGTTTGTCAATATTGTTAGTTTCTCTCCTCCTACCTAGTGGTTACGCTCAACTTAGGGGGGACTTTTACAAAAACACATGCCCTAATGTCGAATCACTTGTCCGGTCAGCTGTCACAAATAAGTTCCGGCAGACCTTTGTTACTGCTCCGGCAACTCTCAGACTATTCTTCCATGATTGCTTTGTCCGGGTTCGTAGATTTTTCTAGTTTCTCTCTTTATTTCTTTATTTTTTAAGGCAAATACTCACATACACGCACAAATGTCCCCTATGAAGCTTGACCCCTCACTTTTTCTTTTAAGCAAGGAGATGTTAATTTTTTCTCCCTACATTTGTTTTTCTTTCATCTTTTTTTTTTTTGTTTTGTTTTGTTTGAAATGTATCAATGCATTATGTTATTAATTGTTGAAGTATGCACTAATAATGGTCTTTCTTGGTAATTATATTAGGGTTGTGATGCTTCTGTGCTGCTCTCAAATAATGGAAAAGCTGAGAAGGATCACCCAGATGATATTTCACTGGCCGGAGATGGATTCGACACGGTGATCAAAGCTAAGGCTGCTGTTGATAGTGATCCCAAGTGCAGAAACAAAGTTTCATGTGCTGATATATTAGCTTTGGCTACTAGAGAAGTCGTAGCCTTGGTATACAACCTTTATTTCCTAGCTACCTATATATATACACACATATTATTTATATACAAAGCGAATTAATTTGAAGTTGAAGAAAACAAATGTAATTTAGATATAATCATTGAAATAATTAAATTGTTTGTGCAGACTGGGGGACCTTCTTACTCAGTGGAATTGGGGAGACGCGATGGACGAATTTCTACCATAGCAAGTGTTCAACACAAGCTTCCACACCCAGAGTTCAGTTTAGACCAGCTCAATACCATGTTTGCTTCCAATGGTCTCACCCAAACAGACATGATTGCTCTATCAGGTACCCAAAACTTTGTTTTTAATATTTTTCTACGAGTTATTTTCTTCTTTGGTAACTCTAGTTCAATGCACACTTGCATGTACTGATGTAACATGCACCTAATTTAACTAGACTTTCATAATGATTATAATGTAGAACTATTTGTTGAAGTCTATATAGCACCTAATTTAACTAGACTTTCATGATGATTATAATGTAGAACTATTTGTCAAAGTCTATATAGCACCTAATTTAACTAGACTTACATGATGATTATGATGTAGAACTATTTGTCAAAGTCTGGATGTTCAAAAATCGATATGAATATGTTGTTGCATTTTCTGGAGCAGTTTCAACAAGCAGGGACAGAACCAGAAATTCTGTTCAAGGCACAATGTAATAAACAAAAAATTAGGGGGGGCGGAATTTGCAATTTTTTATTTCAAAAATTTATACATACAAAAATGTAAATATTTAAAAGTTGGTTCCGGCTTTGTCAACGAGCCCATTTTAATCTGAAAAAACTCATTTCTAATCCGAAACCTGACAGTAATCAATACTCACAAGCTTTGGTCATCACATACGTTATTTTTTGTCCAAATTTCATCGTTTAGGCTTAAAATTGCGTTTTTCTAAAGACTGTCAGAACTTTTTAAAATTTTGTTACAGGTCTAAACGGTTTCAGACTGCTATAATTTTTAGTGATTATTTATGTATTTAATTTTAGAGAGTTAGACTTTTGAGCATACAAGTAGTCCACATTAATTAATAGTCTTTATTTAGACTTTGTAGATTCAAAGATTCGTTCATAAAATGAATTTGGTATCAATGTAAGTCATATAATATTGTGTATAATTGTTGTAGGTGCACATACAATTGGTTTCTCACACTGTGGACGCTTCTCCAAACGCATCTACAATTTCAGTCCCAGAAACCGGATTGACCCAACTCTCAGCCTAAGCTATGCACTTCAGCTTAGACAGATGTGTCCGCTCAAAGTTGACCCCAGAATCGCCATTAACATGGACCCGACCACGCCTCAAACTTTCGACAACGCCTACTACCAGAACCTTCAGAAAGGAATGGGCTTGTTCAGCTCTGATCAGGCACTGTTTAGCGACGGACGATCAAGAGCCACTGTGAACCTATTTGCATCAAACAATGGTGCTTTTAACCAGGCTTTTGTGGCTGCTATTACCAAGCTTGGCAGGGTTGGAGTGTTGACTGGGAATCAGGGTGAGATCAGACGTGATTGCTCTGCAGTAAACTAGCTAGCAAGAGAGAGTTTTCATTTCAAAAGATCATAGAATGTGGTTTTTATTTTTCTCCTCAATAACTGGAATTGTTCTAGCCTATTCATTAATGGGGTTTGGTTTCATAAATAAGACTATGTTTCATTTCATTTCATTTAATTATCGCCCAAGGAATTGGACAAGCAAAAACCTTAAATTTGGAGAAAATCGAGACGTGTGCACCCCTATACACACCACTATACAATGTCTCGTATTTTTTAATTCAATTTAAGAAACATAATTGGGACACAAATATTTCAACACATCCAAATTAGATGATAGCACTAACACTTAAGTGGTCCAATCTAATCAATACTTTTATTAAAAAAAAGTGAGCCTACATATTACAAAGAAAACTAAACATATGCTTCAATTGGATAGTAACGGAACGTATATGGTCATTAGTGGTTGATGAAAGAAGCTATTAAATTCGTTGGGTTATTCTATAGAATCAAAACAGCTATTTTTGAATGTTAATTTTCTCAAATCTCAACCGGGATCCAAATCAAAATACATTTAAAACATTTTTGACGACCTAAATTTAAAAATATGTCCAGTTCCATAAAAAGAGAACTAAAAAATGAAGAAGAAGAAGTTGAATTCAGGTTGACCATTTGATAAAGCCATTTGATGAAAGATTAAGAAAAGAAAATAAGATTAGTGTTAGAAAAATTAAATTAGCGTAAGAAAATTTATTATTGTAAATTCAGGAACGAAGCTTAGTCATTAGGCATTATCAACTAAATATATTTTATCACGTAAGCAAAAATGTGTTTTTTTTAGTGAATCTTATAATTACGCGTCAACATTTAAGTAGTAGTTGAGAGCTTACATTTTCTGGACTACCCAAAGTTTGCATCCACTAAACGAACCGTACCTATTTGCAGAAGCCCAATTCTAGCTAACCAATCTATGCTCCCTGTTCTCAAGCCCAATAAAAAGTTGGGGTGTTTATTTGATCCGTTAATTCGCGGTCCGATTCATCCCACACAGAGTCGGTGGCGGATTCATGAATCCGTAATTCATGTATCGAATTACAAATTAAAATGTAAAAAATTCAATTGGATCCATGAGTACGATCAGTGAGATATATATTATATAATATTATATACATTTTAGTGTTCTTATTTTTGAACATTTATTTACTACTCTGGGACCTTTAGTACTGTTCTGGTTATATCAGAAAAGAGGTATTCATTATCTCCACCAGTTTATTGGTGGATAGCCTGAGTGCTGTTCTGGTTTCTTAGTACTGTACCATGCATGCATGCATGCGTATAAACATCAGGTGCTCATTTAATAGGAAATCCTGGGGGCATTCAACATGAGTTCTGGTGAATTACTGTGGGAGCTTGAATAAATAGTAAGGCACTTCAGATATACTTGTAAAATAGGCACTTGTTTTTTCTAGGATGAGTACAAGCATTTCAATCTGATTTAACTTGTTAAAACAGAACTACCAAAATAAATAATACAGAGTATTAGTTTAAAATTCCAAGAATGTATTAGTTAATGATTTTTTAAATTAAAATTAGTTAATGATAATTTAATGATCTTTAAGAATGTATTAGTTAATGGTCATTTAAATATATGAATTAATATTGCTAAATGAATTGCGAAAAAAAAAAAAAACCCATTTACTATTATCCAGTTGCGAAAAACCTCTATGAATATTTTTGGCAAAAAATTACCTTTAACTATCCCAAAAGGATATTTTTAACTGATGTCTGTTTAAGTGGTTGTCTGATGGATTTTTTTGGATAAAATATCCCTTAACAGATTATTCTTTAGACAATTTATTTATTTTTTCTCTTTTCTCTCTCCGCGTCAAACAAGCCTTCTTATTCCTTCAAACACAAAGCTAAGAACAAATCCAAAAACCCAATCGTTAAAAATTTATCTTTCAGCACTGTTTGGACAACATGATATAATACATGTAAACAATAGTTATGGCCAATCTATGGTATTTTTTTTTTTTTTTTTTTTTTTGTCATGATTTCATCCATGTAATTGAACAAATCATTTGCACGTAACAAGTGTTATGTTTCTTTTGGTTTTTTACCATCTTATTGATAAGAATTTTAAAAAAGAAAAACCATCTTAATAGTAAGAGTGAGTAAACTTCTTAGAAATTATCTCCAATACTTCATCTACGTGGTACATATATTTTGAGTAGTAGGTGGTGGAATCAAAACAATATATGATAAGATGATAAATGCATTTCTCTCAAACTAAATGACTTAAATGTTCTTTATAAAATTATAATTAGATTATTGAGAATTAAATAGAGGGCAACAATGTCCTTTCCCATTAAAAGCGATTATATTTTTAGGTCTTTAACTTGAGTACATCAATTACAATAATTTGGTCTCAAAAAGTTACTTTAGGATATTTTGTGTTCTCAAAGTAAGTAAAATAAATTTAAAAAAAATTAAGATTTGAAAAAGAAATTATGTCGCTTCTTAATTGCCAATTTAGTCTACTTAGTTTGCAGTAGCATAATTCAATTAAGGGAAAAAAAAGAAATTGGACTAAGGAAATATGGCAAATTATTAATTATTTTTCTTAAAATAATTAATTGTTATAATGGTTGCTAAAGATCAAGTGCACCGAAGGAGTTCTTGAGCTGCTTAATTTTTCCATCTTCTATTCCAACGCCATACTGGATATTCTCTGTCCGATTGTACTCAATTTTATTTTATTAATTATACATAATTAAAATATGATTTTATTGGCTTTCCATTTTTTATTTTTATTTTTGGTAACTTTTATTTGGTACTTTACATACCTTGTTTGAGAGGGAAAGAGAGAAATAAATAAATAAATTGTTTGAAGAATAATCTGTTAATGGGTAATTTTGTCCGAAAAATTCTCTCAAACAATTGGTTAAACAGACATCAGTAAAAAACAGCCTCCTTGGAATAGTTGAGGGCAGTTTTTTGCCAAAAATATTCATAAGGGTTTTTTGCAACTGGCTAATAGTTAAGGAGGATTTTTTGCAATTCGCCCTTGAAATTTTATCCATTGGATCATGGTTAAAAAATGTCAATATTGAGTTATTTGGGACAACTCCAATCCGTGGATCCGATCCGCTTCAATCCGCTATCCCGCAGATCAATGGTGAATTCAAAATTTTTCAATTCGTTGGAAGCAGATCGGATTAGGATTAATGCCTAATCCAATAAAACACATAAATGAACCCAAAACGTATGATGGGCTAAATAATTTTAAATCTAAGGCTCAATGGGTTCAATAGCTAGGTTAATGGAAGAAGAAGAAGAAGATAAGCAATTGAATTCATGCAAATCTGATTATATAACTTAAATATGGATTAATTTAACTCTTAATTCAATAACCTGTCAAAGATTCAAATCTAATAATTGTTACTTCGTTAGCTAAACAAATCACATATGTATTAAAATCGATCCAACTCAACAATAATTAAATTTAGATTTGTTCAAGCTTAATTTCGTCTGAATTCAATATGTTTATAGGCTTATTGTTACAAGGGAGACTTGTCTCACATCGGATCCACAAAAGAAATGAATAAGTATATATGAATTGAGTATTAACCCTACATAATAGTTTAATCTTTTAAATCGGATCGCGAAACACCCAATTCATTACTCCACTAGTATTAGAGACAAAGGTCATTCCTTCATCTGAATTGAGGGTTCGTTGTCCCCCATTAGAAAAAAGTGGATGTGTGACTATTTTTGCACTAAAAATGAAAACGAATGAATAATGTTTCTCTTTCAGTAATCTACTTAGCAAAAAAAAAAAATTTCTGTTTTCTTTAGGTGTAGCCAAGGTTGTTGCGATTATTATTATTATTATTATTATTATTATTATTATTATTATTATTTTTTTTTTTTTTTTTTTTTTTTTTTTTTTTTTTCTGACCTAACTTTGGAAAGTCAAGTTTGTATCAGAGCTATTGCCCATTTGGTGACTGTTGGGACGTTCATTATAAGACATTGTCAATTGTGTCACTTTCTGTCATATAATTAATAATTGTAATAATTAAGCCTCTTTCAAGAGGTAAAAACCAATACAATTTCTTCATATAAAAAACGTGACTGATTTCAATCTGTCATCATTCATTTTCAATTATTGATTCTCATTTGTATGGTCAAGTAATATCTACAGATAAATTACTTCAATCAGCCATTCATTCAGTTTCTCAACTTAGGATTTTCATAAAGTTCATGTTTCCATTATAAATAAAATGTTCAGTTTGTACACATGGGATTAAATGCCCAAAATCTGAACTACATATTTCAACTGCTAGTGAAGTCAAACAATGGTAATGAACAATTTTGATCAAACTGCAATAACTGATGTTTACAACAAGTAATGCAGTAGATTTTTAGCTCACAAACATGTCTATGCAGAAAAAGGGTGTCTCACTGTTATTTTCAGTGCATAAAAATGTTTCGAATTAATGGTTTATGTGGAGTGTTTTGAAATCATATAAACACACAAGTCAATGATTATGTTCTATTCAAGCTTAAATCTTGGAAAAGCCAATGTGGCCTCTTACTTTGCTGATTGAGTATTGTCGCGCTTGGGCTTCTCAAATTGCTGTTGGGGACATTGCATTCCTCTTCTCTATCCGTTTTAATCGATCCAGATGATCCGAGCTCTCCAAATTTGTTACCGGTCAAGCTACTGCAGCCTCCTAATTCTGGACTACTATGATGATAATGCTGATGACTCTTTGATCTTTTGCTGCCAAAACTGCCTCCAATGCTTAGTGTAAGCTCTATATCACACCCCTCGTTACATTCATTGATGTTCATCTTATTACTATTCGGATGCCTGTGGCTACTAGGCCCTGCTTGATCCTCTTCCACGGCCCTAATTCCGGTTGAGACATCTTCTTCAGCCGGCTTTTCAAGATCAAATGCTTTAAACATTCTCGAGGGCTCTCCAGAGCAGCAACCACTTGGCTCCCGTGAGCTGAGATTGTCTCGGACTCTTTGAACATGGGGAGTGTAGTCACTGGTGGTGGTTGGTTGATGCCGGTTGGAGAAATTGGAGTAGTTGAACTCGGAGCCAGTCATTGGACCACAAGATCTAGTTTGTTTAACACCATTTTTCACCTCATTCATCAGCATTTTCTGAACCCTGTACAGCCGGTGGAGTTCTTGTACCTGCAGTACCATATAGAGTGTTCCAAATTAGTATTACCTTCCAATTCTTTACATGTGTATTGAGAGAGTAGAGAAAATTAGGAGAACTTTATCGCACCTGGTGTTTGAACACGTCTTCGTGCATAAGCATTGTCTTCTTGATTGATTCTATGTTGTGCTGATCAAGCATCCTATCTGTCGAATTGTGAAACTTGTTAAGAGCAGCACTTTCTAAGCTCAGCTTTGGCCCTTTTTTATTCAGAAAGTTGTCCCAATCACCCAACCAATTCACATCAAAATTGTTGTTTGGGGAGGCAGCTAACGGATCAATAGCATATTGGATTTTGGTTCCCATACCTGAAATGCATGACTTGTTACATTTGTAGCCACAACCAAAATTCTGCTAGAAATTAGATCTATTTAAGTAAAAAGAAAAATAATTAAAAAAAAAAGGTATTTTGAACCTTCAAAAGAAAAATAAATAAATGGGTATTTTTTTTCTTTGTTGTTATAAGCATATAGTGGGTGAATATCATGTAGATAGAAGGCACTAAAGGAAGGTGGAGACAGGGACAAGTTGGCCCCAAGTCAGTGAGAGTACTCTAACCAGCAAAGACTGATGGAAACATCAGATCATATATATTGAGTCATACCCAACCATTGACAAAGTGTCAGTCAAATAGCTAGGATTGTACGAAACCTATCCAGCCCATCTTAAAAGCAAAAATAAATAAAATAAATAAATAAAAGGAATTTGATTAGCTTCTAATTCACTTGAAGTAACCTTTAAACCATATTTCTATTATCCTTCGTCCCTCTTTCTTTCCTCATTAACTACCTTGTGGAGAATTTGTGTCAAATGCAGATTATATGAAGAATTGGTCCTAGTTTCTACATGAAAAATGCTTAAAAGTAGTCGATCTTGGCAGAAGAACACACACACACAAACACACGCAAAAGGAAAAGGAAAAGGAAAAGGAAAGGAAAGGAAAGAAAATCTGGGATCACTGGAATGACAAAATTGTGCTAGATTGGCAGTATGGGTTCCCAAATTATGGTCAAGTAACCAACAAAGAAAAAGGATTCTCTCTACTTTTGTGTGTGTGTGGTCTCACCATCAGTGAGTGATCTTTACAAGGGAATTCAGATAAACTTGTTATTATTATTATTATTATTACGCATCAAGTCAAACAGGCATGGGCTACAACCATGCCCTCCATCCTCCTCAAACCTTTAATAGGTAACCCTCAATAGGAGGTTGAATTCTATTTTTTGATGGTCGATCAATCTTGAGGCAACTTCCAATTGGAAGACCTCAAAATCAATAACATTTTTTTACCAAAACTAGTAATCAAACAAAACCCCCAAAAAAAGACAAAAAATATCTCTTCCAATTCAAAAATTAAAGGTATGTTCCATATATGTTTAGAATCCATTGACACTGCAACATATATCCATTTAGATAAATCAATACTTCTCTCCACATATGAGATATAAAACACATATATAAAATACGCACCAACATTAACATCAAAAATCAATATATAACACTGACCATAGAAAATTAATTTGAAGAAAGAGATCTGTGTGTACCTGAGACAAAAAGTGGGCAGATCTGTGACAATATATTCCTATGAGACTCATTGAAAATGTTGCAGTACTTTGAAGCCAGTACTGCTTGAACCCATTAAACTGATTTGGCTAATAAACCATATGAACAAGGACGGAGCAATCCAAGTGGTGATACTATGTTGAATTGATCATAGAGAGAGAGAGAGAATAGCAGAGCAAGCTAGCTCTTACCAGGCCAATACTACTACTACCCCTTTCCCTAGAGAACACAACAAAGTAGCCTTTCACTAAAAAAAGAAAAATAGAATCATAGAGTTAATAATTGATGGTTGACAGGCTGTGAAGGAGAGAGAAGCAAGAAAAAGCTGGATGGAGTAGCAATGTGTGTGTGTGTGTCTGTCTGGGAAAGAGAAGCTGTTGCTAGTAGTATACTATTTATGTATACATATATTGATTTGCTGTGTGTGTCAATATAATTTATAATGTATGTTATGTTGTTTGTTATTGTTGAGGAAGATCAAAGGTGGGTCCCGCAGAAGAAACAAAGGAATATTTATGGAAACAGATGACACCCTCTTAAGTGCTGCAGTGCTGCAGGCCCCCCCCCCCCCCCCCTCTCTCTCTCTCTCTCTCTCTCTCTCTCTCTCACACACACACACACACACACACACACACACACACATTCATTTTCTTCCTAATTTATGGGAATTTCATTGTTTGATTGTTCTCTCCGTACATTACAACCCTTATCTGCTTTACTGTTGTAATAAATGAATCAAACTTTTCAAACTTTTATCTGAATGACAGGTTGAGCTATGTAAAGTTAATTTTTGTGTAATAACATGGGTGGTTGGAAAAAAGGTTGGAGTGTGTGGTAGGCTAGGTTCTATCATCGTTTGGGATAATAGAAAATTAAGAATTGTTTTTACAAATCTTCAAATCTTTGTAACTTGGGAAATTATCTTGTGATAAAATCTACTGTAGATTTTATCACCAACCTAGTATGGGGTGGTTGGGGAGGGGATATACATATGATATTTGTGTCTGTTAATTACAATGCAGTCAGTGGTTTGATATATTTTACCACCAATCCTATAGAAATCCGTTATGGCTTGTCAATATGTTGTCCAAATAATGAAAGCCACAAACAAGTTGTTGTGTTGACTAACCCCATGAGAAAAATTACGAATAAGCTGTTCAAGTCTTGTCAGGATTAAAAATATATATATATAAAATGTGTGGAGAGAATGCTTTAACAGTTTTATTTTATTATACATATATATATATATATATATATTTTTAGAGCAGCAAAACATCTCATGAATGGTTTTAGGATAACGTTTTTGTTTGTCAAAATTCATTACGACTAGCTCTTGTAAACTTACTTACCACATCACTTTCTCTCTTCCATATATTCAATTAACTTTTTTTGTATTCCATAAATCAACTGGCTTACGTTTCTTTCTCAACTCTCTCTCTCTGTCTCCCTCTCAAACTATCATCTGACTTAAGAAACCTCTCATGAAGCGAAAGCGGAAGCACTTTCGGGAGTGGGAGCAATAACAAAAACGAATTCGAGAGCAGGAGCGCAAAAATGACATAATGAGCTTACAAATAGTGAGAATGGGAATAAAAGCGAGCACAGAATGTAAGAGTGAGAGCGCGCACGGAACATGAAAATGGGAGTGCATTTAGAGCGTGAGAGCAACACCAATTGAGAATGATCATGTGACTTAATTCATGACATATCAAACGTATAAAGGAGCTCCATGTAATCTTCCTGGGCACATAAACCATAATTGAATCTCATAAAATTTCCAATTCTCTGCAACAAAGCATCCATTCTTACTAACAAAAAAGTCTTAATTACTTGGGAGTTTTTGAGTAATCATGGCATTACACCACAATATGTGGTTTTTTTCCCCTTGGAAAAGATAATACGGCCTCAATTGACACTTAAATAACTTGATCTTCACTTATATATATATATATATATATATATATATATATATATATATATATATATAGACACATACACATATATACACATTTACACAACGATCTCATTATACCCTAATCTCACTACACCACAAGCATAATCTTAATTTTAAAGTCATAATGCAAATTACAGATCTCTACTAGCTTATTTCCTTTGGTTTCTCTCATTTCTCTCCTGGTCTTCCCCTAATTGCTCTCCTAAAAATTTGCTTTAAAAATACACCTGACTGCCAAATCACATGCCATATCATTCATGATACTATATCATGAATGATTTTTATGATATTTATCATTTCTCTATTTTATGTCTAGAAGATATCGGACATGTAAGAGTAATTCATAATTCACCACCAATAGAAATGGCAACGGACGATTTGGAGCAGGGGACCTAAACCTCATTCCCATTTACAAAGCTCTTATCATCCTTACCCAAAACCGTTTATTAAACTAAGTGGACAAGGACAAGCAGAGAGGTTAGAAGAGTACTTTTATAATTGTATTCTTATAAAATAATAAAAACAAATTTTCAACCATAATAAAAATTCAATTTCTCTTATAGGAATAAGAACAAAATTCAAATTCTCAATTGAAATATGAGATTTAATATTATTACAGGAACATCAAAATAATACATAGAGATTTTCAAATAAGAATACTAATAAAGGATATTTAGTTATTAGAATATGCTAACATTTGCTCAATATATATCTAACATTATTAAAATATAAAATAAAGTTTAAAAACAAAATTGTAATCTATCAATACAAACGGGATAACCATTTTAAATGGGGCGGCCCAAGCTGAGTATTCGTTCGGGATGGTGTATTTTGTCTTTCTTAATTATCGAATTTATGCAGTCCCTGTCCCACATGCACCACCGAACAATTAGAGAAAAATTCTCTAAGTGGGTCCAAGAGATTTGAAGTGATAACGAAATCTTACCATCAGTCTAGAATTGAGATGACAAAAAGGGGGAAAATTTGCTTGTACCCACTTTCCTCCAAAAGCTATATGCTCAAAACATATCTATCCAACAATAAATAAAAAATTATAGTGCCTTCAGAAATTCAGTTCTCATCCGAAAAAATCTTGTATCAAACACTTCCACCAATCACCATGCTCCAGGGCATTTATTTATTTATTTATTGTTACGGATAGATTTCTTTCCATTTTCATATGTAGTCATGTCTTCCCTTGTCTTTTAAACATAAGCCCATGTTACACTATTCAAAATAAAAAAAAAAAATTGAAAATATTGGATATGCCATATGGGCATATCCAATTTTTTTTATGACATGATTTTTCATATATAATCATTTATTGTGTTACTCAAGTTCGTTACTTTTCAACACAACAATATACTACATTAATAGAACAACACTTGCATCTTAAACGTAATCTAATTATAATGGTAAATGATTATTTTCTTGTGTTAAAATCATAAAATCTCTTTTTGTTTTTAAAATATAACCTCCTCAATTATCGAACAATTCTTTGAACTAGCACAAACTATTATGTTATCGCTTTCGGTGACGAAACCGTTAAATTGTTGCCAAATAATAATAATGCCCTTAATAATGTATTAATATTTTATTAAACTAAAATTATTGTGTGAGAAGGGCAATACAAAATTATTTTGGTCAGCAAAATGATGCAACTATTGCATGTGATTTTCACGTGTGGACCCAGAAATATATTCTGGGATGGGTTAGTATTACTATTTTTTTTTTTTTTTTGACTAGGCTAAAATTACCTATAACAAACAAATATATATATATAGGGAGGATTCAAGCCCACCAAAGCCCCCTTGCATCCGCCTACATGATACGATTCCGTTAATTTTAGAAGGGAAACTAACGAGGAGGGAGTGATATGATAAACTTTTAAAACATTAAGGGGTAATATGATAATTTTTTTAATTGAGGGAGATAGTTGATAGTTTTTGAAAACAAGAGGGGTGTTTTATGATTTTAGTCGTATTTTCTTTACTTCACTACCAATTTTTATTTTTTTTTTTTTTTTTTTTTTTTTGAAAGTTGAAGTCAACTTCATTTAGCTTCACCAACCATTTTGGAAACCAAATCAAATAAAGAGTACTATATATATATAATTGAAATTTTGAATAATGTCATGCCTGAATTGAGTTGCATACCAAATTTAATTAGCCCAATAATTTTTTGTTGTAGTTGTTAGATAGTTTTTAATGGGAAATCTGAATTAAAATATAAAGAATGATGAGTTAATATTCTTAGGCTCTTGGTCATAAAACTTGGGCTAGGGTTTAATGATATCACCCTCAAATGTCAGAGGATACTAAATTTATACGGCAGCAATAAATAATAATGTACTGTATATGCCCCAAATTACATGAGAATGTATTTGGATATATGCCATAAAACGTTATAATTAAGTTAAAGATAATGTTATTAAGATCAAATAGTGTAATCATACTAGTTGAAGGTTTGTAATCTTTTAAAAGTATTAAATTTCAATTTATCCAGTACATTTTTTTTCGACTAATCTTCTCGCTTTCTCAATTATACTTTTAGATCTAAAAATCATTATCTTAAGTTAATTGTGCAGGTGATGCTATAATTATCTATTGTGTGTGGGTTTCGATCCTCACAACAACTAATATATTGCATTAAAAAGGTGTTTGTGAGTCTAGAAAAAGTTTTACAATAGAAGTGTGCCAGTGAAACTATAGACTAAAAATATTATTTGTATGAAAATAAGGAGGCCACACCACATGGCCATTTACAATAAGAATTTAATATAGCCATATGATATTGTGTTTTAGGTTGGCCATGTGATATCCTCCCACATGGCAAACAATCAACTAGGTCAAAAACATTTTTCAATTGGAGGGAGAGAGACAGAGCATGAGTGTGTGAGAGAGAGTATGTGTGTGTGAGAGAGAGTACGTTTCCGTTTCTTTGGGAGGATGTTGTCATTTCCTATGTGATTTTCCTTTGATAGCTTGACAAGAGCCGTTTGCTTAAATATGATTTTTTTTTTTTTGACAATCGAGACCTTCGTGGGGCCACTACCAAATCCTTTCTAGTTTGGCCAAATGTCTTAGTATACATGTCATGATTAGCTGATTAATTTCAGTGCTATTAAAACATAGTTTAACGAATCTTTTTCTATATTTTAAACTATCATTTATTCTAATCCTACCACCTAAACCTATTTTCATTTATTCTAATCCTACCACCTAAACCAATTTTAGCTAACTCTGTTTTATATTGAATGAGTAAAAATGTCACGTCAACCAAGGAAAAAAAGATAACTGAATTGGTTGTGGAACTACTGTGCAAAGGGATGAACAGATTGAGAGTGTCCTTTGAATGTACTTCTAAAACATGACCCCCACTTTCTTTTCATAAAAATTGGGATATTAAGGTTTTGTTGGGATATGTGGTAGTGTGTTACATCTGA